ATTAATAGTACTAAAGGATAGTGTATATTTCTAGAAACTCCGTGAAATTTCAAGAAAACCCATATTGGACTATTGCTCCCGCATCAAGCCCATTGTCAACCCTCGTCGGTTTGGGGTTTTAACTTTGTGGGTGATTTAGAGTGTGTATGGTGGACTGATGGTGGTTCGTGGTAAAGGGGTGGTGAGATTCGTGGGAAATGGTGAGTGGTGCTGGTGAGCGAGTGGTTTGCAGTGGTTCATGGTGATGGTGGTTTGTGATTCATGGTGGTGGTGATATCACGTTTGTGTGAGCTATTGTTGGTGGGTAATTGGTGATAATGGCTGGGATGACCTGTTGGGGTTGCTCGGAGAGAATAATAGGTAAACTTAGAATTATTCAAGGTTAATCGAAAGGTTGGATTTGGGAGAATGAGGCAAAGGTTGGATTATTCCTATTAAATTTTCCTAATTAAAGGGAGTCATCTAAATTCTTTTTTAACATATCTACTTCAATTTGTTCCATATTATTACTAGTAATATATAGTATTTTGGCACTCATTTGAAGGAAGTGATTTGAGAATGTAAACAAGCAAGAAAAATTATCAAATATATAAAACACTAGCAAGATGAAAATTTAATATCAATGTGACAATTATATTGATTAATCTGATCATCTATACCCTTAAATCTTTTTCTTAAAATGCGTGTTAAAGTGTTATGTTATAAGGAATATAAAAAGGAGAAATTTAAGAAAAAATATACTCCGCAGTAAAAAAAAATGGGTTCTTATATATATATATATATTTTTTAACGAAAAAGGTTCTTATTTAATTCATCTAGATAAATACTTTTAAATGATCAACTATTATAATTTATTTTTAACATATAATAAGAGATTTCCTTAGAGATATTAACTGATGACTCCACCTTGATTTGCTATTTAATTTATATACTGTAATTTTTATATGTTTATATGATAGGGTGATGGAAGTCAAAAGAGATGTCAAAAGAGAGTCCATATAATTATGAATGACGGACTTATATTTTGTTGCTTATATTATTTTGCTCGTGTATGTTTTTATCTCTAACAAATTCTATCTTGCAGATTATTTATAGAGATAATGTTTAATTCTGTTTTACTCAGATATTTGTTTAGCATTGCTTTTGAATTTCGAATTTATGTTGCTAGCCAATTTTTCCTTAAGTTGAATATTTGTTTGACAGATTTTCTAGAAGATTTCTGTTAACAAGTATTTTATATTTTTATTCTGTGATTATATTTCTGTCAAGATATTTTGTTAATAATTTTATCTTATAATCTTGTTAATAATTTTATCTTATAATCTTGTTAATTATTTTATCTTATAATATTGGAATTTTATCTTATGTATTTTTGAATAATTATCTTGTGCTAACCTTGTTTCAAGGAATCTGTTAGTTTGTTATTGTAAACAGATTTTAGCTGGCTGATTAATCTTCTTGAAAGATAAATGTTGAAACAGAATGCAGCAGCTAGCAAACGTTCAAAATTCAAAAGGGCTGAAAATTCTGTTGAAGCAAGATTTAAGGAATCTGTTGAAGACTTTCAAACCTTTGAAGTCAGCTTGCAACGTTTTGAAATCAGCCTAAAGCCTTATAAATAGCGTCAAGATATGCTGAACAAATAATGACAAGAACAACAACGACAAGAACACTCAAGAATTATCAAGCTTCATACACTAAAGCAAGAGTGTTAAATATTTTCTCTATAAGTTCTTTAATACCTTATTGTTGTGATAGATTGAGAGAAAGAAAAGTGTATCTAAGAGTGGAAAAAGTATATATCAAAAGAGTGATATACTTAGAGTAAATTTTATAATACTCAAAGTATAGTAAAAGTGAGTTAGCTTTTATTTCTTGGAATTGAGTGTCTAAGGTGTAGCTGGGTGCTGCGGAGAGAAGATAGTGAGATCTTCTAGGTTGCTTTAGAACTCTAAGGGAGGAAATAAAAGTTAGTTAAAATCCTACGGGTTGGACAACCCTAGGCGGAGACGTAGGCCTTTGTGCTGAACTTCGTAACAATTTCCTGTGTGCTTTACTTTGTTCTTGCACTTATTTTTATGTTGCTTAAACTGATCATTTTGCTAAATTCATACAATCGCATCTAACATTCTGTTTAGCAATCAGCTTCGCTGTATCAATTGTTTTCAAAGCCTTGACTTTAGGTCTGAAATTAGTTTTGTTCCGCCTTGTAACTAATTTCAAGCCTTGACATTTTCAGTTTTGCGAAAAAAACACCCATACTTTATTCAACCCCCTTCTAGAGTATTATTTTGTTCATTCCATTACATTGTGATCCTTTCATCAACAATTTAAAATATGCATAATCTATGTTGCAAGTTTACTGCACACCCCTCCTTTCCTTCCATAAAATATTAAAATGGAAAAAGAAAAAAAAAAAATTGGAATCTCACCATCCCTTATAAGTACAGAATGGTTATTTGGAACCTTAGTCACCAAATTCTACCTGTAGCTACGGTTCTAGCTGTTAGAGTTGACAATTTTCAATCCCATTTGCACTAGATGTAACCTTGAAATGAGATCACATGCATTTGTTCAGGGATTGCATCAATACTAGAACTTTGTGGTCTAGAATCTTTGGTCTTAATTGTATGGATAAAGAGTTTAATTATATTTATTTTTTAATTCTAATTGGAAGGATGGATTAATTATAATCTTAATCTTAGCAATTCTTGGAAGACTATGTTTTCTTTTGCTTCGTGGCATATTTGGAGGACTAGAAATTACACCGTTTTTCAACTAGCCATGATTCACCCCTTACCTTGTTTAATAGATACAAGCTGAAATAAGAATCAACACAGATGGGGCATGGAAAAAGAATGGAAAGGCAGGTGCTGGCCTCGCACCGTGGCTAGAGCCGGTGATGGGTCCTGGTTTTTTGGCAATGCTTGGAAAATAAGAGCTAGGACATCTGCGGAAGCTGAGCTCCTTGCTATCCATGGTGGAAAATATTGTGATTCCCTTATTCTGTTGCTTATATATTGCCAACGTTTCAATAAGATATCCAGTAATGTGCAACAAATTATACGAAACCAAAACATGTTATAAATAACAAATAAGGCACCCGTGTGTACAATATCATGTTAGTTTCGGAATTAAAAGGCGGCTCTAGCAATCCTTCCATAATCCTTTTTTAACTTTGTAATCCCTTCTCCATGAACTCCCATCCTTGCTCCAGTTCAATAACTTTACAATCATTCATTTTTGTACCTACTTGAATAGCTCTGTTACCTATTAGCCTATTACACAACACGAAACAAACCCGTCAGCCGTAAATTTGTCTCACACAACTAATTACTTCCTCCCGTTTCTATTTAGTTGACACGTTCAATTTAGACACATATATTAAGCAGGAGGAGAGAGAGTGAGAGAGAGTGATAAAGCAAGTGGATAGCTAGTAAATTACAAAGTATAAAAGTTTACTCAAAAGGAAACGTGTCAACTAAAAAAAAAAAAAATTTCGAAAAAGAATATGTCAACTAAAAAAAAAACAGAGGTAAGTATGATATATTCAGTCATTAAACAATATGTCATCATAATAATCATAGATCTATCTATTAATAATAAAGGTAGCATAATTAATGCACGTCATGTCAACATGCAATGCTAATAGCACATAATAAAAAGTTTTCCCAATCTAAGTCGGATTATGAGTGTAAAATCAATCTTCCTCCTTACGCCCTGATTTAGGGGTGATTGAATAACTGGGACCATCAAGATAGAACTCAATTCCATAAAGATAGAGCCTTGAAGATGATTTCTAGTCCTTGTCTAACTAAATCATAATCATAAAGTTTAGTTCTATCTAAGTTTGTTCGGTAATTTTTAGAAAAAATGAGTTACTCTTCTAATCTTCATTGCAATGATAATACCAGTTATTTCGAGAACCCTAAAATTGAGACAACAATGAAAGAACAAAGAGCCTAGTGAGATAGTCACCGGTAATCACTCTCATTTTCATAGTCCAGCGTAAAACTACAGAAAAAAGAACCTAGGAAAAATCCAAATTTGAAGTTTTTTTGCAAGTAGTCACTGCTAAATCACCATATCCCTCTAATTTCACGGTGTAATGTAAAACTACAGTTGTATCGAAGGTTAGACCTTTGGCTTTTGGGACATTGTTGCTCATCATTTAGGCTAGACTTTTGGCTTTTGGCTAGAACAAGTTTGGATTAATCATTGTCCAAATGAGGTTGCTCCCTATGTACTCTCGGACACTTGTCCATTGATTAATAAATTGCTCGATGCATTCAACAACGAAAATTGCAGCATAAACCCTATAAAAATTGCACCTAAACAGCCGGGATAGACAGTAAGTATGAACCAGAATAATTTACTGAAATTGAACGAAGATTACAACCACACGGCCTTTTCCTAAGCTTAGACAGTACATAGGCCGTATGTTGTAATCTTCGTTGATACATAAGGCCGTATGTTGTAACAACGAACCATGCTTTCTAAAGTTTGACACACTAAGGCCGTATGTTGTAACAACGAACCATGCTTTCTAAAGTTTGACACACTATCATAATTCCCACCGACGACTATCATATCATGATGTAGTTCCACAGGTTGGTTCAGTCATGCATCAAAGTTTATTACTCAATATTTTTCTAGGTGAAACCCATTACATATGAGATAAATTTGATAATAGTGTAATGAATGAAAGTCAGTTTATAAAGAGAAAATAGAGGCAAAAAGTTAGATGCTTAGATAATATTAGCCTGGAAACTACCTTATAATCATAGCCACGTAGTCTGGTTGTCAATTCTTTCTCTGTTATTCCTTGTGCATCTGATGACGCGAACAATGCAACAGAATTGTTCAATCTCTCACAAAGAATTTTACACTGCTCCTGTAGTACAGAGGTATCCGTGCTGAAAGTTTTATGACCGTATACATCCAGTCTGCAGTGAGTTCCCATAGTTGAAAAAAAATGATGTGTGCCAATTCTCAGTCATGCCGGTTAGCAAGATATTTGCAAAAGGTTTTTCATCATCAAACACTGCAAAAATCCAAAGGGTACAATTAAGCTCAAGCCAGATGGAGTCACTTCTTATATATTATATAGAGAGCATTGTGATCTCAATGCATAACAGATAGGACATCCATATATATATGTCTTTACAAGTAGTCACAAAGTCAGACATCATAAGACGAACTTCTCTTATCAATTTGGCCTCCTCCCGAAGTTCCATAACCTCTTTGCTCAATTTATTTTTAACAAGACCTGATCTCAATGATTTTTCTGCATATACAGGTTATAGGTATCTATAAAAGTATATTATTTCATACAAGTATCATATAATTTGAGATCCTTATGTGTAATAGCTCCAAACAATGATTTGTTTGCCTTTCAAGGTTTTGAATATCTGGCTCATAATGATCTTTTGACAGAACCAACGAAGATTAACTCTGTTATATATATCTCACAAAGCAAAAACTAGCCTTTAAGTTAAACATATCATATAAAGTGATTAACTGCAGTGGATCCCTATAGTCAATCCCAACTCAATTTACATGAACCTTAGTTTCACTCTATCTCTAGTCTCCACCATTATCTGTTAAGAGTCAAGTGTAGTTGAACATTGACTCATTTTACCATTAATTATAAATGAGAAGTACTGCCATGTTCAAACAATCATACAGAAATTCTTGATCTTTATACATGCTAGTTATTATTCTCCAGGAATCGTACGTGAATTATCTTAAACAAACATTAAATTAATAAATCAAACAAGAAAAAATTGGCAACAAGAAAGATTATCATACACAATAATAAGTTAATTAGATTTTACAATGTAATTGTAAAATGGCAATAAATTTGAAACAGGAATCGGTTTTGTTTACGTTGATACTCCACTAAAATGAACCAGAGGATCAGAGTACTTGATACACAGCTATACTGGACATTTAAAGCTAAATAATAGCAAAATAGTATAAACCATTTTAACAAGAACAATATCAATTCCTATACTTTCTTAACCTCAGCTTGAGTAACAATCGCTCCACAAACAACATATTCACATTTCAAGACCTGCAGATCAATTCATCACCACAAATAGAAACCTATCATTTTACAGTATAACTTTGAGCAGCAATTCTGTATAGAGCAATAATACAGCTAGAATGGGAAAATGAGCAAAGTGCAATTAAGAGGAATGAATTTCTGAAAGCAAAAGAAAAGGTAATACTTTCTTGAAGTCCAAAATTTTCAACAGGGTACAAAATGCATATAGGCTAAATTTATTTATTTTACACACATTTGATCATCCTATTCTTTCCATAGTTGTAGTCTTGTAGAGAGAGTACATAACAGCAAATTCAGGAAGGATATTAAAAAAGTGAAGTTATATCATGAGTTTTCAGTGAAAGACAGAAAGAGCCAACTGGTCTAAATACTTACAAGCTTCTCCATTCAATCGATAGGCAGCTTTGGGCATGAACAATCAATCACCACAACTACAAATTCACAAAATAATGAAGAGCAAGTTATAGTGATTACCAAATTTTACAACTAAAACACATTGAGCAAATATAGATTACCATAAAATAATTAAAGGCAAATGATATAATTCTATCAAAGTCAGTAGGCACCATTAATAACTTGAATGAGTACCTGCTGAAGGTGTCCAATCAACAAGATCATAGTATAGCTGCATAATTTGACAGTGCAAGCCACACCCTGATACTTTTATCTATTTAAGTAACATAGCTCGATTTTTTACGACAACAATGTCTCTTGCATACCTTACATACAATCCACTCTAGATTCATAAACATTTGACATCAAATATCATTTCCATTGCTATCTCAACAATATAATAATATACTCCATATCATTTCAACACTATTGTATATGGAAATTATTAGGACTTCTTTATTATAATATCACAGAAAAATCTACAGTTTAATTTTGGAGCAGCAAATTATAAAAGGAAAACAAAGAGTTGACTTCCTAGATGTTAAATAGTACTCCTAGTATCAAGAATCGATAGTTGGCAACAACTAATCTATGTGGTTTAAAAATTCAAAAGGAAAACAAATACTCCCTCCATTTCGTATTAATCGCAACAGTAGGGCTTGCACAAAGTTTTAGGAAATTTATAGGGTAGGGATCATATGGTGAATTTTTTAATATAAAGTATAGTTAGTGAGACTGTGAGAATATATTTTATTGTTAGTAGGAGAGAGATATATAATAAAAAAAAGTAGTATAAGTGGGGTTTGTAAGAGAGAAACAATTAAATATTTATGCAAGTGGGGTAAGTGAGAGAGAGAATAATAAAATAGTAGTGGGTCCTTACTAAAATAGGAAGTGTTGCAACTATTATGAAACGGATGTAAAAGAAAAGTGTTGCGATTATTACGAAACGGAGGGAGTAGTTGACTTCCACTGATGAGAAAAAGAAGATGTCGGAATATAATATTAGTAGAAGAAACTCCATCAGAAAATGGGTCACTCTGTGCAACAAAGAAGCTGAAGAGAGAAAAATATACAAAGAATCATATTTCATCACACAACATCACATAATAAGGCTGGAGCTTTTCTTATAAAGAATTCCAACATACCCAACTCAACTAAACCATAATCCAACATACCCAACTCAACTACTTAAGAAATATTAAACTGAATGCAATAATTCTGCAAATAAAATAATCACAACAAATAAATAAAGAAACAACTCCTAAATTTCTATAGTAAGAAACTAAGAATAAAACTATAAAAACAGGGAGGAAATCAGCAGCAATTGAACCACCACCACTGTAATCCAGTCCCAACCATAAAAGCCGCAATTGTTACAAAAAAATAAAAAAAAAAACCCTAAAATTAATGTAAAGTAGCAATAATCAATTAATCACATTTCTAAAATCAAAATTATTCACTTTAATTAACTCTATAATTTAAAGGAAACCTTAGACCTTATACAAGCAAAAACGGCTACTTTAGGTTTTGAAACATCAGACGGCAGCACCAACAACAGCACCGCTAATACTCCTTCCATAAACGCCACCCTGCAGAGTTGAAACCAGCACCAGTGTTAATTTCTATTTTTCAAACGCCGCTTGAAAGCTCCACAAACAACAACCATAAACAATGCATAACAAAAGCCAAGAAAGAAAGCAAACAGGAAAGCCATTAAAGGCACACACCAGGGAACTAAAGAAAGGAAGAGGAATAAGACAGCTAAGAAGGGGAAACCTCTGTAAAACCCAACTTCTCAGCTTTATAAAGTTTTTAGATTAAACAACTATTTTCTCTTCTCAAGTAGTTACATACATGACTCCCTTTAATGATAAGGATTCAAGAGAACATTCGCAAATAAACTTAACTATTGATTACAAATATTAAGAAGATACACTAGAAAATACAACTTACAAGAGAGACAACAGGATAATAGAAAATACAACCACATTTATTAGAAGCAATGTCTGATACAGGTTATCAACTAAACAAAGCTACAAAACTGGAGACCACGAGGTAAAGAATCAGCGTCCTATATCTCTCGGAAAACCTTCTCAGCTGCTGCTATTGTTTGTTGAATATCTTCAGTAGTATGAGCCAAGCTAGTAAATCCAGCTTCAAACTGTGAAGGGGCAAAGTAGACTCCTTCCTCTAACATTCCCCTATAGAAGCGGCCAAACTTTGCAGTGTCACTTCTCTTTGCATCCTCAAAGCTGTATACAGGCCCATCAGTGAAGAAAAACCCAAACATTCCCTGATATATCCACCACACATTGCATGCCCAGCCTTCTTCCCAGCATCAAGGAGTCCTTGTGTAAGTTCACCAGTAATCTTGTCCAAGTATTCATAGCTTCCTGGTTGCATCAATCGTTTGAGTGTATGTATCCCGGCGGTCATTGCCAATGGGTTTCCACTGAGAGTACCAGCCTGATACATTGGCCCAGCAGGTGCAACCATCTCCATAATATCCCTTCTCCCTCCATAAGCACCAACAGGAAGGCCGCCACCTATGACTTTCCCCAGTGTTGTAAGATCAGGCGTAATCTTGAAGTACTCTTGTGCACCACCATAAGATAAACGGAATCCAGTCATAACCTCATCGAAGATCAAGAGAGTTCCATTTTCTTTGGAGATTTCACGGAGGGCTTCAAGGAAGCCAGGGTTTGGAGGAATAAAACCTGAGTTTCCGACAACAGGTTCTAGGATTATGGCAGCAATTTCTCCTTTGTTAGCCTCAAAGAGACTTTTCACAGTTTCAAGGTCATTATATGGAGAAGTTAGGGTGTCTGAGGTGGCAGACTTTGGTACACCTGGAGAGTCTGGAAGCCCTAGAGTAGCAACACCACTTCCTGCCTTCACAAGAAATGGGTCTGCATGGCCATGGTAGCAACCCTCAAACTTGATAATCTTCTGTCTGCCAGTGAATGCACGGGCCAGACGTAGAACACCCATACATGCTTCCGTGCCTGAGTTTACAAATCGGACCATTTCAATGCTAGGAACAGCTGATATCACCAACTCAGCCAGAGTATTCTCAAGAAGACAAGGAGCACCAAAACTTGTCCCTTTCTTCATAGTTTCAGCCAGGGCTGCAAGTACCTGTTAGTATTGGGAGAACAATGATAATTAGGTACAAGCATAACTATCTGGTTATGTTAACCTATGCATTAACACTAGCTGATGTCGGGACCAAAAAATTGGTACCCAGTACCAAATAGCATTACAATTTATAATACAAATAACATTAAGTAAAACCAGATGCTCAGTTTTCAGAGGATGACATATCAGAAATTGTATTCCGGAGAAAAAATGAAACCTCATCGTCAGCATGACCAATAATAGCAGGTCCCCATGAGCCAACATAGTCAATATATCATTGCCATCTATATCCCACATGTGAGAACCCTTGACAGAGTCTACCACTATAGGCTGTCCACCAACTGACTTGAAGGCACGGACAGGGGAATTTACACCTCCAGGCATCAACTCCTGCAATTCATATGAAAACATCTTTAGAATCAGAAGGATAACTTTGCAATCAGGTGTTGTATGAATATTGAAAATTTGCCAAGCTAAATAGCGATAAAAATAACATCTTTAAAAAACAAAAGACACTAAATAACGAAGTCCACTAAACAGCCAGCCTCAACACCTCATTCAGCACAATATTCAATGGTAAAAAAAATAAAATAAAAAATCAGATCCAAGGTGAAGTCCATAAACTCTGCAGGAAGTAGAATCTACTTAGAGTTTCTAATAAACAGAAAGGGCTTTAGGTTTGTTGGCTTAGGTAATCAACACAAAAATTTCTTTTCTCTAGCAAATAATTCCTTAAATCCTCCAAGAATCAATTTAAATGGTAAAATCTAGCAGTGCAGTACACCCAGGCTACTGGCTCGGTTAATTTCTGTTCCAATCAAAGGATATTTTGGTACACAGCTACTTCTGTTCTAGTCGAAGTTTTTCAGGGACTATCATTGGGTACTTGAAAATTCTAAGATACATCAGTTAGCGTACCCCATCAGCTAATCATATCCCATTCAAAGGATACTTGAAAAGTTCAAGTGTGCTCCATTAGTGTTTATTGTTTAAGATTTCTTCCAGCAATACTTACTCCAACAAGTTAGCCACCAAATGCTTTATGCTACATCATAATTATTTTTATAGCAGATAACAATGCTGATATGGAAAAAAGATACCACATTATAATAGATACCACCCTGTTCCAGCGGCTCATAATGTTAAGATGACAACATAAAAGGCAAAAGGTGCAAAGCGCCCTTGTCATATTTGCTACAAATGAGGTTGTAATGAGGATTTCATCCAAAGCATACTACTGTAAACAATCATTACAAAAGCATCCTTGATCCCATCTATCTAGATATCTCATCATCTAACATTTCCAACAAACTGAAGAATCCTTTTCAAGAAGAAACGAATAAATGGGGCCCAACTTAAAACATCATAAAGAAATACAATATACAGTACTTATCAGTTCAACGCCTCCAACCCTAGCAATTGACAATCATGACTCTACAAATAAGAATACAAAGGTTCATACCCAAAGATGCATCACTAATTACCCAAGTGCAGGGGACAAAGCTCATCTCTTATTACCTTCTGCGCATACTGAAGGAGTTCAATTTTATCATATACAGGTTCATGCTAGAGTCTTAATACCACCACCAACCCAACAACTATTCCATTTTCTAGGGGATAAATTATGTAATAGTAACAGAAATGGAACAGAGAAGATTGGGAAGTATTTTGAGATTCTCTCAGCCAGGAATCACAGATGCAGATGGGATAGGGTGATCTGGGTGAAGACAGCTCAACCTAAACATCAGTTCATTGATTGGCTAGCCATTCAGCATAGATTGAAGACTAGAGACATGTTGCATATTCAACTGCAACAGGATAAGAAGTGTCTACTATGTGCAGATTTTGATGAGTCACATAGTCATATTTTTTTCAACGTAATTACAACAGCAGGATATGGCAGCATATCAGAGCTTGGATTGGTTTTGGGCCACAAAGCATCCAGCTGGATACCATTGTTAAAGCTTGCAGCAGGGTAGAATATAGCTTCCAGAGAAACTTGGTAAATACTTGGATTCTGGCAGTCATGTATCAAATTTGGAGGGTCAGGAACATAGCATATTGGGAGAGTAAAATCATGAACATCCCCAACATTGTACAGTCCATTAGATGTGACATAAAGCATAGATTGTTAGCTCTAGGAGGCCAAAAGCTAAATGTAAAACATAGAGAATGGCTTGAAAGCCTTACTGTATAGTTTTCTTTGTATAGGTGTTTTGGGCTAATTAGCCTGCATAGAGGGCCTTGGGGGGTTAACTTGTAATCTGATTTTTGAAGTAATAAAATTCTTGCTTGCTTACCCCAAAGAAAATTAAAAATAAAATAAAATAAAATAAAATAAAATAAAGAGAAAATGAATCAATGGAACATGGATGCTAAACATACTATCAATATTCCACATTTCATTAACGGTTTTTTCACCATATACCCCTGAGTTTTTTTTGTTTATTCACCATATACCCCTGAACTTTTTTAAGTTCATCATGTACCCCAAGTTTTCACAAAAATACATCATATACCCTTGATGATTAATGATTCTTAACTTCGTCAGTCATTAGGATTAATTATGACCAGAAACCACCCTAAATAAATTCCCCTACACCCAAAACCACTCACATTCCTTACTACCACCCCAAAACGACCCCAAATTTCCTTTTCTCATCCTCAAAATCAATCATACAGATATGGTTATGGAGATTTGGAGTGGTTTCGGGGGGTTAAAGAAAAGAGAGGAGTGGTTTCAAGGATGGGGGGGGGGAATCTAAGGTAGTTTCGATGCATAATTAACTAAATTCTACTCATCTTGTTGTCATTAGGGATATATGGTGAATTTTTGAAACAACTCAGGAGTATAAGGTGAATTTGAAAATTTTCAGGGGTATATGGTGAATAAACAAAAAACTCAGGGGTATATAGTGAAAAAACCGTTTCATTAAACATTTCAATGCTTCATGTAAGAAACATGTATTATTACCCTAATAATTCCCATTTCACCACTGTAATTATTTTGTTTTCTTTTTTTTCCCCCTAAAACGAGTTGTTGATGCAGATGTTTAAATCATTTGTTCATTAATATGGGATTTTTGGATTACTTAATCCACTCAACAATTAGCTTTCTCTCACTTTTATAAGAGCAATTTTGATGTCAAGAACAATTAGCAGGGGTAATGACTTCTCCACACCATGACACTCACAACATCCACACGAGACAAATTGTACACCAAATTCCATTCATTTACACCAGAATCAAAATCCTTTAACCTCCAAAACTTCAACACATAATCTCCTTCTTTATACAACTCAATAAAATGAATATACCCTCCAGTCCCAAACATGTTTCGTTTGTCATCCAAATTCAGAGCATTATGTGGCTTCCTACACCCCTTAGGAAGTGGAATAAACCGACATCGAGCCTTCTCCTCCTCGTTCTCATCACCGCGAAAAGGGTCATCATCATCCCAACTAATCACCCCACAACTTAAATCAACCCAAAATAAACGTCCAGCAAACTCAAACACCTCTTCAGAATCCCAAATTCAGAGCATTATGTCTCGTGTGGATGTTGTGGTTAAAAAACAGTTGTATTATAGGAATTTAATCAGTGAATATTAATTTTACACCATCATTAAATAGCAATTAAAAGTCTGTAAACTCTGTGGTCCGAATACATAACTCCCCTACAATGGTTAATCGTACCACGCACGATTGAGATACCCTAGTTTCATTAAAATTTTCAATGCTTCATCAACCATATGCCCATAAGCTTAACATAAATTATAACCAGTCTACTAAGAGTCGATTATTCTAGTTAAAACCAATGCCAAAAGATGGGTAGGTTACGTGAACCAAAAATTAACCAAGATAGCAAAGCAAAACATTCCCAAATCTCAAATTACATAGCACGCAAATTCAACAATTAAGTAATAAATCACAAGTTAACGATCCCAATTCTCAAAATTAACGAACCCAATTCTCAAAATTATGAACAATCAACAAAAATCACAATTAGAGAGAGATGAGTAATCAAAACCTTGGCTTTAGCAAAAGCTTCTTCAGATTTTTGAAGGGTGTAAGACTTCTTCTTCTCATCAACAGAAACAGTCATTTTAACAACAAGAGGAGAATGGGAGCGAAGAGGGTGCTTAGATTTGGAAGAAGATGGTTTAATGGCGGAAAGCTTTGATGGCCATGTGATACCTACTCCTCTGCAACACCTGCCATGGCTGCCTTTTAGCTTTCTCTCTCCTTGCGATTGCAGGAAGTCAAGATAAGGAATGAGATGAGCCACTTTCTTCACCAAAAAGATACAAGATGAATACGACGAAGCTTCAATAGAGTTTGCTGATTTTGTAAATTGGGCTTTCTTTTATTGTAATGTTGGGTTGGTATTTGTTTAGGCCGGTTACAAACGAAGTGAGTATATTTTTCACTTTTTTTTGTTAATAGTTGCAATTCATTATTCATGATAATTGAAGATTCTCTCTCGTCATAATTTTCTTGCTTGAATAGTTGCCTTATGGATAGTGATAGGGGTGAGAACGAACAAATATAAGATACCCTGAATCGCCGAATCGAAACTGAAACTTGTACAATAGGTTCTAGTTTCAGGTAGCAAAATAGGAAACTTGTTGCAATAGGTTTCGATTCAGGTTTTCAATTTTTTGTAACCCTTGTAACTTAATACCAATTCATACTCCCTCTATTCCAATATTGCATTTGTTCTAAAATTTCTATTTCTATTATTTTATTAAATAATTATTTTGCTATAATATACCTGTTAAATCGAGTGACAATAAATATTGTACATCAATTGTGTAGATACCTGTATTAGAATGACAAAAAGTTATCCCGAGATAAATAAAAGTTATTCAATATGATAAAAGTTATTTATGTTTTATTTATAAAGTTGCTCTTAAGTAAAAAAATCAAATCTCAATAGGAAAAAATATCTAATTGTATTAAAATTACCCCAAATAAGTTTTTTTTCTTTTAAATGTAGAAATCCTGTCTCTTTAAAATCAATCAAGGGCACATTATATATACGAAATACTATTAATTTCTTGATTTAGAAACACGAAAGAAATTCGATTATAATGTATTAATCCTTTATTTGTGCATACAACATAGAATAAACCTACTAAAATTGCAATTAAGTAACTCCAATCTAATTCCTTAAAAAAAAAAAAAAAATCTCCAATCTAAAGATGTTTCACAAGAAACTAGGCACAAAATAATCTACCGTCATCCTAGCTCTTGTTTTTTCATCTACCCCCTCTAACAAAGGCACCCTTTTGTCCCTCTTTCTTAGTTTAGGATCATAAACATCAATAAAGAAATCCTTAACACTTAGATTACGCGACGATGTCGTCAATAATATCATCTTGCCATCTTTAATCTCCGGAGTTAGAACGAAGTCTTCATTGATATCGAGTCCATCAATGAATGCAAAACAAGTTCATGAATTTACGACGTCGTACTCCTCCATAACCCACATCACCACACCTTTATTACCGATCCTTGAACCGCAGGCAGCACCCACACAAAGCATCTCCGCCTTCGGGTTTGTTTCACTAGGAGTATTACTAGTGCAAGGCGAAGAGATAAAATCAAACTTCTTTTGTCGATATTAAACCTTACTATCAAATTATCACAATCTACTAGCCAATGTAACGCACCATTCAATACAACAGACTTGCTTCGTATCGACGTTAATCCAAACAATTCCGTATCCATAACCTTCTAAGCACAATCACCTTCATCTCTAACTGTCATGACTTCCGCTGTAATTTTAGCACTAAGACCATGTCGATAACCTAACCTAACCACTTTTAATAGTCCAGTCTTGGAACCGTAACCCAACCCATGGTCAAGGTCCAGCCACGGAAATGTATTCATTTCTTCATGAAGGACCAAACAACGCCTCGTGATCGTATTCACAAGCCGGAACGTATCTAACCACGAATAAGGACGACTAGAATTGCGAACCAACAACAGTACGAAACCATTGCAAGAAGCCACAATTTCTCTAAAATCTAAGTTATAGAAACGAAACTCGTTTATTAGGTGATCATCAGGAATATAGTCAATCAAGGTGTAAGAATTTGCTACACCATTATAAGCTAAGAAAGTTGTATTTTTGGATGAATTATTATTATAATTATTGTTGATGTGGGATTGGACTAAACTAGGGAATATAGGGTCACAAAAAAATATTGTCAAGTTTATGGGTATTGTGTGACAAAGGTTGACGACATTGTAACATTTTGGTAACTGGAAGTTTACTAGCAATATTTACAAGAATTTCAGTAGGCAATTGTTGTAACTTTGTGCCTAGTGATATTTGTGATTTTTTTGATGTCTTTTTTCCCTTGCTTGAAACTCGAAATACTCGTGCCAGCCACCATGCTTATACTATAGAGTTTTCTTAATCTCTTTCTTCTCGTGCTTGAGACTCGAACTACTCGTGCCACCATGCTTATATTATTGATTTTTCTTAGGTGTATTGGTTTGATGGAGGAAAAACTTTGGTAAATTAAAAAAATATGTGTTAGATTGGTTTTTAATCGAGGTTTTATGGTTTTGATGGGTAATTTATAAGAAGCAGTTTAACGAAAAACAAAACAGTTTTATTAAGATATATTTTAGGAAATATTTAGGAACATATTAGATTTGGTGAATATTAAGATTCACTAGGATATATTTTCCCATAATTATGTCTAGTTTCTTTTGCTAGCTGTACACGTTTTACAAACTCTTAAATGGACCTGGTTCACACTAATTTATTGTGGACCACTAACATGAGAGACACTATGATTGTTTTAAAAAGGTCACTATATTAAAATAAATTAAAGGTTATTATGTTGAAATAAAAGTCATTTTGGTATTATAAAGGCTATAAGAGGTTATTTTTTTTAATGAAATTTTTTTATATACAGAACAATATGAATGATAAAGTTCACTATGCTAAAGTTATAGTCACTATGTTTAATATAATGTCGTACTTCAGCTTCACGATAATATTAAAGGTCATATAAGTTTTAAAAAAGGTTGTCATGTTAAAAATAAAGTTACTACGTTAAAATTAGGGTCATTATGATCAATATAATTTTAATGTGTGCGTATAAATCTCACGTCGGCCAGGTCCAGGCCAATTTTTTTGAAAGTGTAGTACTCATGCTTTAGACCAGGTTATAGAAAAAAATTAAATTATATAGTAACATGAAAGTACGAAACTATGAAAATATACTCCAATTAAATCTAATAAGCCCACTCCACCTAACCAACTAGCTTTAGTGAACTTGATTCTTTTCCTGTTCAGTCTGTTCCAAACTCTATTGTTTAATTGTTTGTAATATAAATGCCTTTACATACTAGCATCACAAAATGAACAACATTTTACATGAAACACTCAATAAAATTTCTCTCCTAATTTCAATATTCATTTAACAAGACATTTCATCTTCCAAAAATAACCAAGATATCAACACAAATAAAAAAATGTACCTGTTTCTTGGACAAAGGAAATGTGGCCGCCTTAACCAGCACAGTTAGCAATATAATTGCAAACCCATAAGCATACGGTACATGTAATGTTGTCAATCCATCCTTCAACACCTAACACAGATAAACTCAAGTCTCAAACAGTAGGTCTTGTATACGACACGTGCATCAATTCACTTTTCCAAAACTTCGTGTGATTAAGCATCTTGTATACAATACACCCGTTGTAAGGCGTTCACCACCATACTAATAAACCAAAAACTCACAATCAAAACCAAACCTTTTTAGTACCTTAAGAACAGTTTCCATGGTAGAAGTAATCCCAGAAAGCCAATCTCCATTTTGTTTGGTAGTAGTATTGGAAGCATCAACAACATCAGAATTAGCAACAGCAGCATCAGCAATGGTGTAAAGAATTCCTTCAGCTCTACCAAACAGTTCTTTGACAGTGCCCTCGAAAAATTCCGGGTCGGGTAATTGACCCGAGTTCAAGAACCCGAACTTAGCAACGACAACAAGTGGGGTTCGATGATTTTGGTGCGGAAAATGGGTTCGGTGAAAGAAGGGGGTTTGGAGGGTCCGAATTCGAGATGGGTACGGGTGGAAAATGGGTTTGAGTCCGAGAGGAGAGAGAAAAGTTGACATTTTTAGTGGGATTGAAGAGGGTTTTTTGATAAACCCTAGAAAGTTGGGATTGAATTTACAGAGAAAGACAGAAAGAAAGGAAGGTGAAGAAGATAGACAGGATATTTTTGTGAGAGAGAAAGTAGTGCAAATTTTGTGATTTTTTTTGCTGAAATTGGTGAGCTGAATAGGGGGGTGAAAATGGGTGTTAGGGTGTATGGCCACGTGCAGCTGGGATTTTGGTTAATAAAACAAGTGCAATTTCACTCGAGTTGACTTATACTCAAAATTTCGGACTTGTTTTAAGAGTTGAGTTGAGTTGAGTATAATCTTACTCGATTCAATATTTATAAGCAATTAGATGTAAATGGTTTTGGTGAACAATAATAATCTTCTGAGTTAATTACATAATTAGGCCTTCACTTCTTAGTTTTTTCACTTTTTGGGTACTCATTTTTTTCCACTCTTTGAGTACTCTAACCTAAATTCCGGCCAACTAACCTGCCACTAACTCACCGTTAACTCAAGGTAATTAAAAATTAATTATTTTTAAGAAAAAACCAAACTTCATTAAATTAGGTACCAAGTAAAACTAGGCATGGGTCGGGCTGGCCTGCAAGCGACACGGGCATGGCACGCTTAAGGCTCGGCACGGCATGAGCCCGCTAGAGGCCCGAAACGGCACGAGGAACGAAGGGTGGGCCGTGGGCCGTGCCGTGAACAAAATTTTAAAAAATCAGGCATGAACCCGGCACGAGTCCGCGGGCGGCCAAGAATTTTGGCCCGCCAGCATGAGCAACAGCTCTTTTTTAACGGCCATTTTCCAACCGCTTTATTTTAACAGCTACTTTTTTTTTTAATTCTACCGGCTACTTTTTGGTATTCTAACGGCTACTTTTTCTAATTCTCTATAATTACATCACCTCATCATCCATTTCTTTCCACAATTCATCAACTCATCTATTCTCAAACTCTTATTCTCTAATCTCTTATAATTTTTAATTCTCTAATCCCCTCAAATCTCAATTATCGAAATTCTTAAAAAAAAAAAAAATAAATAAAAATTCGTGAAATTATTAATTTTTTTAATTAATTGTGGTATTTTTAATCATGGCATCAAACACGAACCCCTCCTCCGTCCTCCTCTAGGAAAGCCAAATCAAAACGTACTAGTAGTAGTAGAGAATCACCAAATCCAAACACTTTAATGCCCCCCTTCCCCGGCCATTTCGAACACTTCAATCCCCTTCCCCCAACCCTCAACCATGGGAGGATACGATCAATTTTGCAATATACAACATTGGAATATGCCTAGTTCGTGATTTCAACCAAACCAATTCTCACCTCACTTTTACGGCTCAAAACATGATTTTGTTTATCAAACTAGCCAAATGAGCCAAACATATACCGCGGGGTCTAGTGAACATTCCATCGAAAATAATGTTGAAAATGTTAATACCTAAATTCCAAACCCATTAGAACAAATGAACAATGGTGTATCGAAGAGGAAATGGCCGCTAAGACGAACCGAAAGAGTAAGGTTTGGAATTTGCTGAATTTGGTGAGATGAAAGGGGAGGGTGAAAATGGGTGTATGGCCACGTGCAGCTGGGATTTTGATTGATAAAACAAGTGCAATTTGACTGGAGTTGACTTAGACTTGAAAATTCGACTTATTTTAGGAGTTAAGTTAACTCGACTCAATATCCATAAGCAATTAGATGTAAATTGTTTTGGTGGACAAAGATTGAACAATAATAATCTTCTTAAATTTGCATTAAATTCTTTGTTTTAGATTGGTAAAAAAAAAAATGGAAATTAATCCAGCACTTAGGGTCCGTTTGGTATCGTTGTGTTTTATGTTTTTTTGGTTTTTATTTTTTCAAAATACATGATATGTGTCATATAATGAATCAAAATTGGTCACATGGTCATTACACGAGTCTTGAACATATCACTTACACTCACAAGTCTTTGCACACACTTTTGTACATACTTTCTTCACACCATGACCATGTTTTAGGTCCATGCACGAGTCATCCTTTCCATCACTCGAGTTGAGGGTCCTTCCCATTCTCGGAATTTCCATATCTATCCACAAATACACCCTTTCCTTCTACATCACACTTTCCACATTCACATACTTTCCTCTTTCATACATATCATTTCCCTATCTATGCATGTTGAATCGAGTTCGAGTCAAGTAATTGACAATAAGTGTCCATGGTTTCCCTCCCTACAAAATTTGGTGAAGGAAAACACAAAGCACGAGGCGGACTTCAATGACAAGATTTCATGATTCCTTTCTTATTTTTTATTTCCCTTTTCCTCAATAAGTCTAGCATAGGCACCCTCTATCATTTTCCTTAGTTTTATTTCGTGAGTTTGTTTTTACCCTTTCCATTTTTAATAAAATGAGCATTTATTTCCTTGCATATGGTCATTGCATTGCATCAAAAAAAAAAACACGCCGAACTAAGCACAAGGTATACCAATGATTTGAGGCATCCCTTTGTAGCCACATCATATCACCTTTACTCCTTTCAAATATACAATCCTTTCTTGATAAACCACTTTGAGCCTCATCTAACGATTGGACTTCATTTTTTCAACCCACATCTACCTAACCTTGGGATGGGATGGTGTGCAACTTATGCAATTTTCAAAGAAAAAGCTTAGTGATTTTTACCAAAGAAAGTTTCAAAAGTTCAAAAAAGAAATAAAAGTGTGCAAAAGGGCAAGTGTTCCAATGTCATTGATATGAACATGTCTCGAATTGCGTCTTTTATTAAGTGCTCGACACCGTGCCTGAGAAACATGAATGCCAAGTGAGTGATAGACCGCATGATCGGGATTGCTCACACTTATCCAAACAAGATTCAAATACAAATCTCAAATGCAAAAAAAAAAAAAAAAAAAAAAAAAAAGTGAAAAACCTCAAGCATACAAAATACCAAGATTCAAATGCAAGGTTGCACACCTTGGGGGCTTATTTTGGGTCTTAAGCCTTTATCCTTTCTTCTTCAACCTTTAGCCTAACCCCATTGCAACCCTTGAAAGACCTCCTTGAGGTGTACACACACTTGTGAGCTACGTTCGGCGTAATTCCTAACGGATACATAGGCAACCTCACATTGGGGTGTGGCCGTAATAAAAATGCATTCACTCATATTCACATCATGATCACATCAAGGGATCTCTAATGCTCATCCCTATCCATTTAGAGCTAGACTTGGGGGTTTGATCCCTACTTCATAAGCCTACCCAGCCTAAGAGTCACCATCATTTGGCTCTTCTCAAAAATATATTTTCCACACCCTTAGACTTTGCAATCTAACCTTAGTGTCACTCTCTCACACTTCACAAATACATAGCCAAATAATCCTTCCCTTATGAACCCTTTCTCATGAAATCTTAATATAACTCTAAGCACACCTTGTCATCTTTGAATCACTCATTATCATAATCGTCATTACAAAGTATGAGGTACTTAGCCTCCGAGCTTAAGTTATCCAAATACTTTCATTACCAGATCATCAATCTTTGCACCATGAGATTCAACGATTAAAGCATCTACTTGATTAAGTTCATTCAACAACATCATTACTTGATTCATTCTTTCCATCCTTTTCCTTTTGAGGAAGTTCAAAAACTTTGTTTTTCACCAACATTTACACCTACACTTCATCCTTTTTTCACGTCTTTCTTTTCGGGAGAAAGTCAGTACCCTCCACAAAAATTACGGAAAATTTTTGCTTTTCTGCATTTTCGAGTTGCGCGAGCACAATCACAACACAATGCACACACGAGTCATGCACATTGATTCATGTTGTGTCACCACATCAAGTTGAGTCATGCAGTTTAAGTCATGTCGTGTCAAATCACACTGAGTCGATTTGAGTACATCGAGTTACACAATGAGACAAGTACACCAAGCCTTGAGTCAACCTCAAGCCAACCAATTGTCAAGGTCCTTTGGTAAAAATTTGACTTTTGCAGGGCTCAGGCACATCACCTTTACGACAATTTTTCCAAGATTGGATTGTCATCTCAATTGGCAATGTTTCCAAGAGTGGATTGCCGCGCATCTTCCTCAACTAACAATTTTTCCAAGATTGGATTGTCACCTCAACTGACAATGTTTGCGAGAGTAGATTGTCACACATCTTCTTCATCTATCTGGCAACTTTTTCCAAGATTGGATTGTCATCTCAACTGGCAATGTTTCCAAGAGTGGATTGTCAAGCGCTTTTACAACTGGCAATTTTTCCGAGATTGGATTGTCATGCAAGTCATCTTATTTGATTCACTACAAGAAATCAGTTGATTTCCGATGGGCACGTAATTCCGCCGGAAAAGCTAAATTTTCCGACGAATTTACATTCCGTCGGATATTTTCGAAAAATACATTAAATCCGCCGGAAAATCCATCGAAATTTCCGACGAAACTTAAATATGTCGGAAAATAGGTAATTTTCGACGTATTTAAATTTCGTCGAAAAATTTCGACGGATGAAATCCGTCGAAATTAATTAATTTTCGACGGAATTGAAAAATCCGTCGGAAAATTGGTGCTTTCCGATAGATTTTTCCGTCGGAACCATTAAAATAGTATTAAAAAAAAAAACAAACCTTAACCTTAGTTTGGAGAATTGGCGCCGCTAAGTTCTTTCCTCCTTTTTCACGCTGTTCTCCCTCTATCCTCTTTCTCTTTCCTCTCGTCTTTCTCTTTCCTCACGCTATTCTCCTCACTTCTTTCTCTTTCCTCCTTCTCTCCTCTCCTCTCCTCTCTTCTTTCTCTTTCCTCTATTCTTTCTCACACCTCTCTCTATCTCCTCTTCTCTTTCTTCTTTCTTTCTTGCGGTTTTCCCTCCTCTCCTCTTTCTCTGTCAAAATTAGCACCACGTCACAAATTTCGCGAATTTTGGCCAAAATGATGGTTTACATAGTCAAAAACGAAGGTTTTCATGGTCAAATTGGTGGTTTTTGTCACAATATTTGCAAAATTTGGCCAAGATGAAGGTTTTCATGGTCAAAACGAAGGTTTCATGGTCAAATTCGACCATGAAAACTCTAGATCTAGAGATTTCATGGTCAAATTAGGCCGTTTTAAACCAAATTCGAGGTGAAATTCAAGGCCATTTTCAGTTTAAAAGGTATGTTTTCTTGTTTTTAATTTTCTTTCTTTTTTTTTTTGAATTTTTTTTTGTTAAGTTAATTGTTGTGGTTGTGATTTTCGGGTGGTTGTGGTTGTGGTTTTTGGGTGGTCTTAGGTGGGTGGGTTCGGGTGGTTGTTCGGCTAGATTGTTTGGTTAAGGTTGCAGAT